TTACCCAAAACAAACATCTGAAAATACAAATGAGTTCAGTTAAAAAAGGTAATATTTTTAACAGATTTGAAGACATATTCTCAGTTGAATATTTCAGAAAATACAATAATAAAATCATGAAAATATTCACAACGAAAGAGCCCTTTGGGATGAAATATAAAAGTAAGAATTATCATATTAAAGTTCCAGATAGTCAACAATGTACAACAGGTAGAAATAATGGTGTTTCCAACTAAGGAAAGTATCTAATTTTCACTTAAATTTACAAACATAAGCATGTTTTTTTTAAACATAAATAATCAATTTTGAAAGAAATATTCTTTGAAATTTCTTGCATAGAAAAATATGAAACTAACAAACTCATTTACTTTAATAACAAATATTACAAATATATACACATTAAAAATCTTTACAAAATATGAACGTATAAAATACAACCAAAGAACACTGAAGAGTTTTAAGAGAAAATTACAGTGGTATTCATTAAATATAAAGAATTCCTGACAATAGATTTAGTGTTAATAATGTTTCTATTCAATGAAAAATATGACATTTAAAATATTTTGGCATCATCAAAAATCCACAGCAAAGAAAGTTAAAATACAAATGCACTTTTTTTTTAAAGTGAGTATGAACAAAAAACATAAAATCTCAATTCAAAACAATAATATAAAAAAACTAAGGGCATCAAACACTTTTCTATTCTTAACAAATAAAACAACACACTAGCTATACAGGTTACATATTATTTCTTTCTACAGTATTATAATAAAATAGATCATCAGTAATCAAATAAATGCCATTAAATATTTGCAGATTTTAACTAATTATTGCTCACAGTAGAATGGGTGCATTTACACAACATTTTGCCTTGACATGACATAAATATAATTTTCCAATGAAAATATAAACAAAAATTATTATATACTTAGTGGTATTCTAAAGGAATAACGCTTAAATATATTACTTCCTTTTCTTTTTTTAGATGTCCCTTTAAATAGCCCATATTTATTACTACAAATTTCATATGCAAATGTTTCTAGTATTTTCAAAGATTTAGTAACAGAAAGCTCAAAAATCTTAAAAGTACATTAAAGGTCTTTCTTCGAGATGCATTTAAGCAATCTGTTAAATGAGAGTTGTTGAAGTTAACTAATTATGAGTTATAGGAATAATAAATAGTCAAAATATGCTCAGACTAGCATTATAAATAATCAATAGTCAATGTGCTAAGATTAGCATTATTTGAATAACTATAATAAATGTTCATGTAACACAAAAGTATGTTTAATTCCTTGATATGTATTTTAAGCAGTTTTTCTTCAAGCAGCTTAATAATTATTTTGTATTTGATTTTAGTCTGATGCATATGAAATTAGTTCTTCAATCTCAATTTTCTATTATTTCAGTATTTAAAATAACAAATAAATCACCAATAATATATAATTTAACTGTATAATCAATCATACTGCTCATAACTGCTTTTCAAAATCCAAAAGTATAAATTTAATTATACACTGATGAATCACATGACTGAGTAAAATAATCATGATTCTTTCAAAGAATACTTTTATTTTCAAAATAATTCAGTTAAAAGTTACCATTTAATTCTTTCTGTTTAATTTGATAATGCTGGATAGTCTTTCTTGTTCTCAGGGTACTAAGAGAGAAAGAGCTTATATTGAGTAATTTATTGCCCAAACACATTCCGTAACTGGACAATAATTACAGACTGAATTCTGAAATTTCATGAGAAATCCTCTATTTTTTACTACTTTTAACAACATAGCATGTTCAAGGGGGAGGAAAAACCTCTTAGCATATAGAAAACATTACAAAATGATTGATAAACTATATATGTTAAATAATGTATTTAACATTATTTAATTAAAATTAAATAATAAATAAATTAAATAATGTCTTTAACATTATTTAATTTTTTATATAATGTTAAAGACTGCAGTTATAAGACAAAAACTAATACAATTCTAAATGAGAAGTTTTATCTTCTTTAAGAGTACTCAAAGTGAGTTCCTTTTATGATATGACAGACATCTAGTCAATAATCCAGCTTATCTCGCACTCTTACAAATAAATGCACATTTCCATTTCAAATGAATGAAGCCACTTCCAGACTGATGTACATGAAGATAAATTCTGCTGAAACTGCACTCTGAAAGTAAACTGGACTGCAGTTACAGAACTAATTTTTGCATGTGGAATAAAATAAAAGATTTTGCTTATATGGAGGGGAACACTGCTGAAAGTTAATAGCTTGGAGACAACTGGTAATTACCTCAAAAGCACCTCAAAAATAAATGAATTAAATACATAATCTTTTCTTTTTTTCATTTAAAATGAATGTAATGTAAATATATGCATATATCACCTGTTTTATTGCATTCATTTTAAAACATCTTTACACAATTCTAGGAAAATTGCACTTCAAACAAAAATATTTTAATAGGAGGAATAGAAAGTAATGTCGTTTCTGCACATGTTGACAACAACATGCTAAGGGCAGAAGTGGAAGCAAATCCATGTCAAACACTCTTAACCAACCTTGGTTGACCATCCAAAAACATTTAAAGCAGAATGGAAAAATAAGCAAAGCAGGTGTTTGATACTCCCATAATCTGTCCAAAGAGAACAAAGCCAACTGATCCATAACATGCAACATATTGCTTCAACGGCACCATACAGAAACGTTTTTTGATCATTTGATTACTGGAGATGAAAAATGGGTCCTATATGATATTCCAAAATGCAAAAGGCAGTTTTAATAGGGGTTACAAAGGGTTTACATTCCAAAAAGGCGCTTCTGTGTGTTTGGTGGAGTATTCGCGGAATTGTTCATTTTGAATTGCTGAAACCTGGACAAACTGTTAATGCAGATCTTTAATGCGAACAATTGGATTGAGTGAACCAATCTTTAATCGAAAAATATCCGGTGATTGTCAGTAGAAAAGGCATCATTCTGCAACAAGACCGCACTGTGCAAGACGGACACTGGAAAAAATGAATGAATTGGGATGGGAGGTGCTGCATCACCCACCATACTTGCCCAATATCGTACACTTGGATTTCCGTTTATTCCGATCCCTACAACATTTTCTTAGTGCCAAAAAATTTGAAAATTTGAATGATGTCCAAAATGCCATCTTGAGATATTTTACTCAAAAACCAATTGATTTATGTCAGTCCGGGGATCGAAAATCTGCACATTAGATGGCAAAAGGCTGTTGATAACGAGGCTGATTACATTATTGATTAAAAATAAAAACATGTTAAAAATTTATTCGTGTGAATTTAATGTAAGAAAGTGACATTACTTTCCAGTCTCCCTATTACTAATATAATTACCTGGCATTTAAAAGGTTGCTTTAATATAAGTCTACTATAAACTTTGTTTTGATACATGAATTAACTTCAATTAAAGATAATTCCTTACAGGCCTATAGAAACATTTGAATTCTTTTTAGAACTAAGAACATGCAGCAATAAATATTTTCGCCCACGTTCAATAACACAAATAATACTACAACCATAAAATAATTAAAGAATCTAACACAATGTAATACAAATATACATCATTTGAAAATTTTAATATCAGCATAAGGAACATATACTACAAGTCTAGGTCCTAATTTTTTTAACTTGATAAAAATCTGCTTATGGATAATTCCTATAGCATAAAATCATATATTTTACACTAAAAATATATTCAGAGATCAAAATAACAGAAAAAATTTTTTAAAAAAAAATTTCCTATCAGTACATATTTAAAGATGAATGCCATTTTTCAAATACACAATTAAAAATAGAAATACAGACTTTAATACTTAAAAACACCTTACAACTCTAAATTGCTAAAAAATCTCTTAACCAAATAAAATTGTACACATGGCTTTAAAAACATCTATACAGACATACTGAAAACTGTTCATAACAAGACTGGCTATGTCATAATTATCCTCAGATGATATTATAACATCTATATTTAACTGTATTATTTAACTAAATTTATTCTTACATTTGCCATAAGTAATAGAATACACACATAAAATGCATTCATATCATCAAAAAAGTGGAATCATTATTTTACCAAACAAGAGATGAATACACTCATATAAAGTCTTCAAATGCATAACACAGATCTCTTAAGCATAAACTGACATTTGATTTATAATACATAAAAGTATGAAGCTGGGAAGCTTGCAGGAAGCCTGAATACCACTTTAGCCATCCCTAATGACAGATAAACATTTCATTTATAAATTAAAATTTTTTGGATCATGATGATATTATTGGAAAAATCAATGTTTTCACTTTTACAAAGTACTGATTAAATATTAATTACTAAAAAGTGATCTTTTCATGGATAAATAAATTTTCTTCCTTCCTTCCTCTGTAGAATCTGAAATATTATTTCTTACTGCAGTATTCAAGTTTTTACATCAGGCAGACAGAGAAACATTTTAAGGAAGTTTTAATATCACAGTTTATTTCATTGATATGCTGCCTCACTCATACTTTTCATAAAACAACTCTAATTATGAAAAGAATAATAATATTGTACAAAAAAATTTACAAACACAAAATATGTCCAAAATTTATCCATAGATATGGTTAACTCACACTACACATTTTAATTTTTATGCTCAATTTTATCAGATGTATTTTTTAATAAAATGACACTAGTTTTTACTTCGAAAAAATTTTAAATATCATGTTTTATTAAAATACAGGAAATTTATAATAGTTATTATTCACTATTATAAAAACAATACAAAAGTATAAACTACTGCAATACTACAATAATTTATACTGTTGTATAATATTTTATTAGCTACCTCAAATAACATTTTATCAATAGTTTAATTTTTTCCATTTAAACAAATATAATATCCAAAATAAATAATAATAATAATAATAATATATTTGATAAAATGACTTGAATTTTTTTTTCTTTACTTTGCATTATTAAAACTACAATTTTTAAACAGTATCCCGTATATTCATATAATAGAAGAAAGTTTCACAGAAATTACACCATAAATAAATTTTTTTTTTAGAAAAACAGCCCTGAAACTGAGCAAATTATCAGTAATATATGAAGATTAAACACAATAAAAATATTTTTAATTTTAATTTTTTTTATAATGAATTTGATATAGAATCTTATTCGATAAATGTATTTTTATTCAAAAATATGTATGTAGATACCTTTATTTTACAAAATATGTATAATAATGCTTTGTATAGATTTGTTAAATTTATTACATTTGCATTTCTTTTCAATGTAATTTGCGGACTCGAATCACCCGATTTCATTTCACATGACGTTTTTGAGGAACCAATCTACTATGTTCATCGAGGATTACCTGTACAACTTATTCAAAGCTGATGTTTTCTTGTCTATAATTGGGAAGAATCTGTTCACCTTAGGAATGGTTATAGTGCTATAAAAGATTCCATTAGATAAGAGTTTTCCTAATGTGTCAACAGATCTTTCAAAAAATATTATAACACATATTAAAATCTTAAATTTTTATACAATTATTTTCAGATTATATTAATTGAACACACAGTTTAACAATATGGAAGAATGAAAACATATAAATGAATTTAACAATTACCATTCAACTGGCAAAATTATTTAAAATTCAGCAAGATGCTAGGTACTAAGATCAACTTCTTGAAATGAATCATCAGAATAATCTCCTGTATAAGTAGAAGGAGAGGACGGTTTCTGGCAGCTTGTGTTGGATGGCAGAGATACTTGGCCAGACCCGCTGGCACTGGCATTGGCACTGTCAAAGCTAATACATGGCTCTAAACTTGATTCTTCCAGACTCTGAGAGTGTCGAAACCTCAAATCTATAAAATTAAAAGCTTTCTTTGAATAAAAGAAATAAAAAAGGGAGAAAATTTTTAAGATGTATTTAAACAAATAACAGCTTTAAAGAGTTAAATGAATAATAATACCAATAGAATGCTAGCATAAGCTATGATTAATAAACTGTAAGCTTCCCGAGACAAAAACATATAACTAGTGGCATTTACATATGGAAATGGCATATAATTCTCGTTCAGGAAGATTACGTCTTATTTTACTATCATTTTTATCTCACAATGATTATTTATTATAAACTCTTTCATATCCAACAATCAGAATTTTTTATTAAACATTTGTTTGAGGATGGCTAGACTCAATAATCACTTCACTGAGAATGTTACCCATAATGCATCACAGGAAGTAAGACCAATATTGCATACACAAGAAAGGTTAAATAGTCACAAACACCCAAATGGAGGTTGACCCAAGCCTATCAACATGGTAGCCCTTACTCAAAAGTTATACATTTGTTATAAAGCTATGCTTCATTATATAAATGATATGCAGCATTATAACAAAGAAATACTGTAATTTCCAGAAGAAATGCTGCAGCGTTTATGTGTTTAAAACTTAAATTTTCAAGGGATGCAGCATTTCTATCGATGTGGTGCTTATGTGTGATTAAAAAAATATTCCCAAGATGTCATTGTAAATTAGTATTACTTAAATATTCCTAAGATGCCTTGGATTACATCGGTACTTTTCCCACACCCAGTTGCTTTCTATGAACTTTATTGTATTTATAGTCTTTGTATTGTATTTCTATCCTTGAATGGACCTATGTGCCTTTTCACCCAAAACAAGATCTCAGAACAGTAATATTCCTCCCTCATTCAAATCAGCATTCACATCAGTTTGAATACCCTTCCCTTGATAAATCTTCTGAGACCCATCATCTCCATTCCCCTTCCCATAGTAAATTTACTATGGTCAAACGTGAACACAAACATGAACTCTACCTGTGTTGCAATAACAAGCTCCAATGTATTTCTTCTTTCTCCCCCTTTAGCATGAATCAATTCTTCTTGGCATTCTTCCAGCTACAGCTTGTCAGCTTCGATAAAAGTAATTGTTGGATAGTTTTTAAGTAAGGACAAAGTGAAAAATTTTTTGGAAGTGGCACTTAAATGGTATAGAAATAATACTGCTAGTTTTAAGCTTAGTGCGATTTTCTATGCTCAACAAACTGGAAATAGAGCAGCAGCTTGAGAATTTGAAGTGGACGAGCGATGCATCTGATGCTGGAGAACTGAAAAAGAAGAGCACGAAAATATGCCACAACAGAACCAGCCAAAGACATGGTACTATAAGATGGCCAAATCTAGACAATAGCCTTGCAAAATAGATAAAGGAGTAAATGATTCACGATGAATGTGACGATATGGGCAGATTTGGACTATTTTGATCCTTATTTAGATCAGAAGAAAATTTAAATTTTTAATCCTAATTTAGATCAGGATTAAAAATTAAAATTTTCTTCTGTCGTTCAATTTAATATCTTATTGTTGTTATCTTTGTTATAACATAATGTGTAAATGGACTTCTTGAGTGGGTAAATATAAGTACATATATAAACATAAGTTTATCTTCAACATTTCTTACCTATTATTTATTTTTGAGCTATGGTTTAATTTCATGCATTTTGCACTTATGATGTCCACAGTGATAGTGTAATTTTGGTTTTCTTTTCTTTCCCCCCCCCCACATTTTCCTCGAGCACAGCGTTTATATTGATGTGGTCTTTTTTCCAGAAATTATGGTAATGAACATAATTAGTTATTTAACAAAATAAAAAATATTCTTCACTATGCTTACTTAGTTAAGAATATCTTTAGTTTCGACCCACCTGTCCAATGACTGAACAAGAGCGAATGAACTCATTTTATTATCCACCAACAGGGCCAGCGCTGGGCTTTTTTATGCCCAGGACACAATATCTTTCACTCTTAAATTCTGCCACTCAGTGCCTCCCTATTTTTTTTTTTTTTTTAATTTTGCTGCCTAGTATAATTGCATTGGCTCTGGCACCAAGACTGTCCATTATTACCTGAAATTGCTTGCCTTGAGACTTTATAAATCCACTGGCTCTGAAACTGATATTTCAGGAACAAAAAGAATATTACAGATCCATATAAATGTAAAATCAGTTTACAAAACATTAGGAACTAGCTATAATGCCAGCAATTTTTTTGCCATTCTAACCCTTGTTCTTGATGTGTTTGCTACATGAATTATATCAATGGGCATCCTAAATTCAGTGTAGCCTTTCCTAGTGATGTTACTATTTAATAGATGAGATAATCTTATGGAAATATAAATATCTTATGGATATGACTACAGTTTTACATAAAGATATCCAAAAATCATATAAAATCATAAAAGATGGTTCAGAAAATTTAGACTGTTCAAGGTAAAAAAATTATTTTCAAAGGCATTAGACAGCATTTTATAAATTTTTAATTACCCACAGAGAAAATGCATTTTCAAATTAAATCTACTGTAATAATAAATTCTATAGAAATAAATACATGAAATTAATAACATACTTGGCTCTAGTGACAATTCTTCACAAAGATGCTCAAGTTCATAGGCAACATCTGGTTCAGTTGTAGATGATAAACTATCAGTATGCTGGCTTTCAGATTCCCATAATTGCAGCAATGACAAGGGAGGATGGATTGCTATGTTAAAAAGCATAGTATATGCATGAAGCCCCCCCAAAAACGTATAAAGAAGCATAGCTATAAAACAACAAACTAAGCAAGCAAAAATCAGCATTACCAAGAGGGAATTAATTACTAACTACACTAAAGTGAGAACTATGAATTTAAAAGTAAAAGCATGCCCTTAATTACACTTTTTACCATATACAATAGATATCTAGCAGCTGCTACTGCATTTGCAGGTAATATATTCCAAAAATTACTATAATTATATGAAAACACAAGTAATATTCAACACTAAATGGAAAACAATATTTGTGTTATATATAAACACAAACATATTGTATCCATAAAAGTCCTTACTTGACTTTTATTTTTACAACTGTTAGCCATAGGCCAGTGCAGGATTTATATATAAGCTACACAAGCTATAGCTTAGGGCTCCCACATCCTTGGCAGCAAAAAAAATAAAATATTGTATAAATATAGTATAATAGGTGTTTAGTATTTTTTGCTACCAAACGAATTACTAGTGTGTCTTTGCAACAATATATGGCGCTGCTGCCTGATGATTCAATTCTGGTTGCTATGGTAATGAACTTTCAACTCATGACTTATTTGTATTTTTTTTTTTTTTTTTGTTTGCTTGTTTTTGTTTTTGTTTTTTTTGCTACAGTGCTAAGAGTGAAGTGTGCTGTGTTGTCATGTAGACGGCATTCCTTCTATTTGAAAGTGTTATGTAAAATAAATAAGTGATATTACAGTCCACTTACACTTTGTTTTTGTGAACTTATTCTTAACAATAGGCTTACAAAGGGTCCCATATATCAAATAGCTTAAGGCCTTATAAAGTCTAAATCCGGTTCTGCCATAGATATATATTTCCAGTTATGAAAATGATGCAAATATTCATGTTCATTAGACAGAACATTTAATTAGCACAGTACAAAGACCATAATCCCGACTCTTCGAAACCGGATTAGGGTTTTTTCCGGATTATAGATCATCAATTTAATTCTGGTAAGATGGCATGCAGAAATTATAAAATTAAAAATATGAAACCGTAATTTATGAAATAAAGAGCAATTATGATCTAAAGTATATCTAAATTTACAAAAAAAAAAAAAAAAAAAAAAAAAAAAAAGGGTTAATATTTATTTGTTTAACATTTCTTCCAATGTAAGTTGTTTAAGTTGATTCATTTTTTTGTGATAATACTTTCTTTTTAATTCTATAAACAGACATAATTTCTTGTTCAGTTACAAAGTTCCACTGTTAGAAGTCCTGTAATTTCTGTGTCGAGAATGCCGACTAACTTGTCAATCGAAATTTTTTCATTTTCAATAACCTCTCTGTCACTTTCTTCACTATCGGAAGCGGTATTTTCTGGATCTAGAGCCACACTACAGATTTTGCCGTCCATTAATTGATTGATGATTGGGGCATGAATGAAAAACTTCTGTTATATCATCTTTATTTATTACCGCTTCTTCACATTTCTTTACAAAATCCAAAAACTGGAAAACTTCACGTTTAGTTTGCGATGTCCGAAAACCTTCAAATTCGCGGCTATCATCTTCTTCGTCCACACCATGAAATAGGGTAGCTTACCATAAATTATGCCAAGCATTTTTTAACATATCTGGAGACACATCCTCCCAACGTGCATGTGTAAAGCATACAAAAAAAAAAGTTTGTGACTTTGAGGTCCAGATTATAGATCATTCCGGATAATGGACGTCTGGATTACGGACTTTGTACTGTATTTTTTGGTTGCCACTAGATGCAGCTGCATGCCTGTTATGGTGAAATTTATAAAAGTTAAGCATGATGAACTTCATTCCTATGCAATGTTCTTTTTTGTTTGGAAAGGGAGATTGGTGGATGTTGAAGGATGATGCATTTAGCTGTTTTAACTGCTCAGTTGATATAAACAAATGCAGTTTCTATCATTTCAAAGGCCTTACTTATTGCTCTTAGACTTTTTTTCTTCTAGCCTTAAGACTAATGTTTTGTATGGTTTTTAACAGAAGAGTATACACCAATGATAAATCAGACTTTTTCTGGCACTGATGGCGGTGATGATATTTTTGCAGAATTGAAAAGTGATAATTATAGCTATTCTAATATGGACATATTTATTTGAGGTATGTCAAAAATTATGTAATAATTTTTATTTTTATTACTTAGGTCTTGTACTAAAGAAAATGCACAATTGGATTTTTCTCCCATATATTAATTAATTATTTAAAAAAAATTTTAAATAAAACACAATGATAAAGTTTTAAAATTAATTCTGATAACTACCTAAGTGCTCTTCCCACATAATATACCAAAAATTGGAGTAAATGGACAACAAATTTAATTTATGCAAATTTTTTTCCCAAATTTAGGCTTATCAGCATGAAATGCCCATCCCCATAAGAAATGCATCTGGTTAGTGCACTGTCCCGAGAGAGTGGTTAGGTGACCAAGCTACCCGTCACAACATGTTAAAGAAATCAGTTTTTCAAGTATTATGTAGTCTAACTTTTTACACTTACTTCTGGTCCTTATTTCTGAAAATGTTATACGTTTTGTAAAAAATTAAACACAAAAAGTTTGACTCCCATACAAGGTTCTGATGTTATTCTCAATTTGCATTGAGAGGTTGGTTAATAAATAAATTGCAATAATTCCACGTTGATTTTTTTCTTCAATAAATTCAATATTTAAAAACATTCCTTTGTGCTTTATTTTTATCGTCAATTTATAATTCTATTACATTTGGTAAGTTGAAAGAATTTTCATACATTTTATCTTTAATTAATGCAAATTACATTACAAACTGGCTATGACCTGCCAATGTTTTCTACAACACAAATTCTACAGGATTCTGAGAAAAAGATCACCAATTTGAAAATATATATATTGATCAATACTTTTCACAATAATCTGAATAAAAATGCTCATCACTTAAACCTTTTAACATTTAAATCCTTACTCTGAATTGATATTTTATTTTTAAATAGCAGCTACGCTGCCAGCCTTTGCCTGGCTTTTAAATGTACCGGAAAAATGCCTGAAGGGAACACCAAATGTTAAATTTAAAAACTGCACAGAATTTTACTCTGAAAAACAACTTCATATATATATGCATATTAAAAAAGAGGAATTTTAAAAAAATGTATTACATATAACAAAATTACAATGAAATAAGCAATATCCCTTAATATAAACATTAATTATCTTAATAAATAAATTAACCAACTTCCCATTGCCTTCTCTCAACAAATGTCCAGTATCCAAGAGAAACATTAAATTTAAAAACTGCACAGAATTATCGCCCTTATTTTTCCAAGTGGAAACAGTGCTGATTTTCAACAGTCAGCAGTCCAGTATACAACTAAATGAAAAACTGCTGCCAAAACCACATTTCTAAAAGAATGAAACTATTCCAAATGATGCAATAAATTCGAAAAGATAAAATTTTTAAAAAATCCGATTCGAATTTTGAAAAAATCGCTTCGAGTTGCACTGGCTCTTGTCCGGATGCACCTATATACCAAATTTTGTAACCCTGGGTCTATTAGCTTACATGCAGCATGAACGAAAGACAGACTGTTTCTTTTATTATAGGTGGAGATTATGCACAAATGCAAATATTCGATTCTTCAATTTGCATATAGTTTCTGAATATTGTGTTTGACTTTCATATAAAATATCAAAAAATTTGTGTTGTACGGAAGTCACTCTTTTTGTATTTTATATTTCATAATTTTCATAAAATTGATCACTTTAAATTTTAAAATGCAAAAGCATGAATATTTGCATCATTTAAAACATTTTTGTAAGTGGAAGTATATGACTACAAGCAACGATTGTGAAAATTAAGGCTATGGAAGGACTTTTGTGAACATGGTATATTTATATGTATAATGTGTGTGTATATATATTACAACAAATTACATAAAAGGCACTTAAATATTCATTCTGGCCAAACTGCTGCAATGATTTAATTAACAAATAATGTACAAATAATTATAACTTAACAGGAAAAAGAAATTGAGCAAAATATATATAGTAATGATATTGAAAGGTTTAAATTAAAACCTATTGCACTAATTAAAAATCAAAATATGAATACCAGTGAACAAAATGGCAAAACAAAAATTTAATAAAGAACAAAAGAAATAGAAATAAAAATATACACAGAGAAAAACTGTATTGTCACTCTTTGACTTTTACTTTGTCAAGACAACCCTTCTTTCCTATCAGAATCATTTTCTGTTTCTGTACATGCAAAAATTAAATATGGTAGCAAATAAATAAACAAATGTTTTTACTACTTCCGAAAGTTATTATATACATTTATATAAATATCAGAAAACCCAATTATCTCCAAGAACGTAATTGCTAATACTATTATAAATCAAATAACAGCAGATTAAAAAAACCTGTACCAAGTCAGAACAACAGCAGCAAGAGGCAGCAGCAGATAATATTCTTGCTATTCTTTGGCTATGATATTTTCTTTTCAAAAGTTGCTTTTATATCAAGTTTCAAAGTTGCTGTATATTTTTTAAAAGTTTTACATATTGCATTTAACATTTGTATGAAAATTGAGGAGCAGAACCTTTTTTTGTAGATAAGACACTTTTAATTTTCGAAGGCACTAAAAACATTTGTTTATTTATTTTACCTTTGTTAATTTTGAGTCTAGAGAAACAAAAAAAGATTCTGCAAGAAAAGAGGTATTGTCACTTAATGACTGACCTCCTCTTCATAAAGTAAAAATCAAAGAGTGATAATACAGCTTTTCCCTGTGTATATTTTTATTTCCACTTCTTTCATTTTTCATGAAGTCTGTGTTTGTCATTTTGTTCACTGGCATTCATTCCCATTTTATTTTACATAATTCAATCTTAAAGAACTTACTAATTTCAGAATTAGCTCTTGCATCCCACTCTGCACCAACACCTGGCTCTCTGGGAGGCAAATTTAGCTTTCTCCTTTCATGGATTTCACTGGAAATCATTTCTAAATTGTGCAAACATGTAGCATATGAGGCTTTGGAATCCATTACTGCTTTCTGCAATGACTCTACTCGATTTTTCAGATCCTAAAAAACGATTTTCAGAGTTGGGATATGCCATTACAGAAACAATCAGTAAATCTCAATACAAATATACAAAACCCATTTCAACTCACAAATTAGTTTAACTAGTTTATAACAGCTGCAAACACTTTAAATTCTTAAAAGACATTAAACATATATTTATACACTTGTTTTAACATCTTTACAGATGCTAAAGATAACTCAAGGTCACATGCATTTAAGGTAGGCATCTGGAATTTTTCAAAAGAACATACAGGGGTTGGACAAAAATATGGAAACACCTTTAAAAAAAAACATGTTTCTTTGCTTAATATGGTGTAGGAAACCCGTTGGCATCCAAAACAGCTTGCAGTCTTCTCGGAATGGATAAATACAGTTCCTGTATGTTTGCCAAGAGAATATTATACCATTCTTCCTGCAAAACGGTGGCAAGTTCAGATAACGATGTTGGTGGTGGATAACGAGAACGCACTTTCGGTTCCAATGTACACCACAAAGGTTCGATAATATTCAGGTCTGGTGACTGTGGTGGCCAGGGGAGATGGGACAACTCATCCTCGTACTCAGAAACCAGTCCTGGACAATGTGAGCTGTGTGAACAGGGGCTTTGTCATCTTGGAAGACACCATCACCATCGGGAAACAAAGTTTGTACCATGGGATGAACTTGATCGGCCAAAATGTTCACATAAGTCTTGGCAGTCATGTGCCGTGACACAGTTATCATAGGGCTAGCAGAGAACCACAATATGGCTGCCCAAACCATAACAGAACCCCCGCAATGTTTCACTCTTGGCAACAAGCAGTCTGTATTATAGGCTTGAGATGGCGTTCTCCAGACGTAAACTTGGCCAGAAGTGGGAAACAATGTGAAAGAAGACTCGTCAGACCATATTACTCGCTTCCACTGCTCTATAGTCCAGGCTTTATGACTTAATGACACCACCTTTTCCTGTTACGGGCATTAGCATCACTGATGAGTGGCTTCTCAATTGCAGCACGGCCAGCAATTCCCTGCTTATGAAGCTCCCTTCTAATTGTTTTGGTACTCGCAGGGTTCGGTAACACAACATTCATTTCAGCAGTAACTTTTGCAGCTGTGGTCTTCTTATGTTTCGTCACAATTGCCCTTAATGATCATCTGTCACGATCACTCAGGACACACTTTCGTCCGCGCTGTGATTTAGCAGATGATGTTTTTCCGCTTTTCAAATATGCGGAATAAATCTTCGATACAGTACCTCTTGAAACACTAAACACCTCGGCTACCTTGCTTACGGAAGCACCTACCATACGTGCTCCAATTTGCCCACGTTCGAAGTCTGTTAACTCTGACATAATGCAATGACAACCTCACATAACAGTACTCCGACAACAACTGAACTGTTTAGCACATTTACGAAGTTGTATAGGTGGCGTCAGTAGTCAAAAACGCCAACGCCACCTATATATTTCATTAAAATCAATTTTTCTTTTCAAACATGCATTTCACAAGGTGTTTCCATATTTTTGCCCATCCACTGTAATTTCAATTAATTTCAAGATTTATTTCACGATAAGGTGACTTGCATTAATTGATCTATTTGACAAATACCTCTAAAGGCCCGTTCCCACTGGGGTTTATCTGAGCTAACGGAATCAGTTCTATGTGTCGACTAGGTCCGCTGTGCCTGCAGTTCAGATTTTTCAACTTGCCACCCTATGGGAAAAAACTGGTTTTGGAGATGGGTCGGCTGCGTCAATTGTGTTCGTTAGCTCAGATAAACCCCAGTGGGAACGCAGCTTAATTGGTGCCCCCCTTTTTTTAAGCAGTGTTTCTGCTACCCCAAATAATGACATGTTTAGCACATTTACGAAGTTGTATAGGTGGCGTCAGTAGTCAAAAACGCCAGCGCCACCTATATATTTCATTAAAATCAATTTTTCTTTTCAAACATGCATTTCACAAGGTGTTTCCATATTTTTGCCCATCCACTGTAATTTCAATTAATTTCAAGATTTATTTCACGATAAGGTGACTTGCATTAATTGATCTATTTGACAAATACCTCTAATTGGTGCCCCCCTTTTTTTAAGCAGTGTTTCTGCTACCCCAAATAATGACATGGAAAGGAAATGTATATCATTTTGCAAACAGAATAATGCAAAATATCATAAAATACAATTAATGTTTTTTACTGTACATGATAATATGAACCTATTAAAAAAAATCTCCATTATAGATAACGCATATAAAAAAAGCCAAAGAATTTAAAAACTTAATTTTTAAAATAGTTTATTATATAAACAAAGGAAAGTTTTTTTTACAGCTCTGAAGCATTATAAATGCATACTGCACAATAATTTCTTACCTGCAAAACTTTCAGAAAGACCTTTTTCTGCTCAAAATAAGATCTATAGAATTAAATATTAATTTTATTTGCCAATGCAAAATTACATATAGAAATATCACAAATCAAGTATAAACAAGACATCAATGTGGATAAACAAACTTTTACCTAGATTTGACAATATCTTTTTTAAGTTGCTGCTCCAATTTTTTTACTTTTTGAACAGCAGCTGCAAAAATCTGAGTGGTTCTTTTGTGCTCTTTTTCACTTTCTTCTTTTGAAGATTCTGCATTCATCAGCTAAAATACAAATTAAGATACATCTAAGCAACAGTTTTTTAATTTTTACAATGACTATCTTACGGCAAAAATATATGTTCTATAAAAGGCTTAGAAGTAAGCAGTTAACATCTCAGTTAAAGATAAGTATTCAAATTATTTCTTATTTTCCTTCTGGCTTATCATCACTTACAGGATTAAGTCATATTAGTGCGATCATCAACCAATGTAAAAATCACAAATGTGCTGCAAATTACATAATACACGTATTAATTTAACAAATACATAAGGCAGAATTTTCCTCATGCTTCTGTGTAATCCTTAGCATTTTTTAAAAGCATATTTTAAAAACACTGACTTGCTCCAATCGTCAAACAGTACCAACTGTCTGAGGGAACATGAGAGTTTTGATGGCACAATATATTAACAATAAAGCTCAGTTTCTATTTTTGAATCTAGAGGGTAATACTAGCCAAGACAGTAGTTCAGAATTGTTCAACAAGATATCCCTGAATCAATTAGCCTCTCAAACAAACCAATAAGAATGCTTGATAACAATTACGGTTTCTTTCCCAAGAACTCAGGATCTCATTTTTATGAGATTCCCATATATCCTTTTTAGTTTATATTTATGTTTATACACTGCTTGACATTGAAAATGCAACACCAAGAAGGAGTGGTCAGAAATTTATGCAAATTTTAGAGTAGACGCACGTCACCGAGTTATGCGAATGATGTGAAATGCACAGCTCTCCGACGCACGTGAAGTAAGATATAAGGGAAGGAACGTGCAGAATGGGCAATATTTGTGTTGTTATTTCTGCCAGACGAATTATCAAAGAAAGTTGGCTTTTGTACCGGAGGCTACGTGTAATACAAGAGAATACCAGGCCGCTGTCAACGAAGGCCCTTCCAGCAGATAGACGATTTTACGAGGGGTACGGCGATCGGACTGAGAAAAGCGGATTGGTCCTTGCGTCAAACCGCAGCTGATACCCACATGGATGTGAGCACGGCACATTGGTTATGGCGAACATTGTTTGGAACAAGGAAATGTAGGAAGGAAGGGTGCAGGTGCAGCCAGAGTGACGTTAGCACGCGAGGATCGACGCATCTGCCGACAAGCTGTAGCAGTCCTGCAAGTCACTTGTACTGCGATTCTGCAGCATGTGCAAGAAACCCTGGATGTTCCCATGTCGACCAGAACCATTTTTTGTCGATTGGTTGAACGTGGCCTGCACTCATGCCGTCCATTAAGAAGACTGCCATTGACCCCACAGCATAGACGGCAACATTTAGAATGGTGCCGGACTGGAGCGATGTGGATGATAGAATGGCAAAACGTTGTGTTCTCAAATGAGTCATGCTTCTATTTATCCAGTGACAGTCGGTGCATATGTGTGTGGCGTCGACGTGGAGATAGATCTAATCCGGCAGTAACTGTGGAACGCCCCAGCACGACAACCTGGCATAATGGTTTGGGGTGCTATTGCCTACGATTCCAGGTCACCTTTTAGTTCGTATTCAGGGCACTATGACGACCCAACGATACTTGAATAATGTACTGTGGCCAGTGGCAATATCCCCTACATTCAGGGGCTGCCTAATGCAATTTCTCAGCAAGATAACGCCCAACCACACAGTGCTCGCATCTGCCAACGTGCTCAGCAAGATATACAGATGCTTCCCTGGCCACTGTACTCTCCTGACCTGTCACCAATCGAACATGTGTGGGATGCGATTGGACGCCGTTTGCAGACTCTGCCCCTGCCTCGTTTAGAAGATGAACTGTGGCAAATGGTTGAAAGGGAATGGAGAGCCATCCCTCAGGACACCATCCGCACTCTTATTGACTCTATGCCTTGACGTGTTTCTTCGTGCATTGCTGTCCACAGTGGTCCTACAATGCCATTCTGTATTCTGAATATCATTTTGAAATAAAGATCACTTATTGTTGCTTGCTGTCTCTGTCTTTTTTCCAAATTTCATCACTTTCTGACCACTCCTTCTTGGTGTTGCATTTTCAATGTCGAGCAGTGTATTTATGTTTATAAAACAGAAATAAATTAATGCCTGAAGGAGTCAAATACTGTTATGAAATGTCCAGCCATGGTAAGATAGCTTCCCTGCAAAGCAGGTTTAGGATTGGCAGAAAATGCGAGGGAAGACAGGGTTGTCATATTTGGCAAGAAATCGCCCATTTGGTGACAAATTGGCAATATGCCATAGACAGATGGAGAACATTCTGGAACAAATTCTTACTGGTTTAGCCCAAAATGTTCTCAAATGCAAACCAAAAACTATATAAACCCTGCTGGTACATTGAGAGTCAGTTAAGAGTCAGTGAGGAAATGTCTCGTAGTCTAGTGCCCAGTTGGTCGTCCAAATGCATCAAGAGAGTCTCTTGATGCAAGAGAGTGTATCACAAGTTAGTACATCGTCAAGTTTTATCTTAGAGGATGTTGAGCTCCAAGAACAACTGAACCAAGCTCGGAGCTGTACTGAGGAGAGTCGGGAGCTGTACTCTGGTGCTTTGCCATGAAGCTGTCTTCACCGGTATAGCCTGATAGCTGATTGTTGTAGTTCTTCAATGACTGTAAACATGCTTTTGGAGCTGTCTTGATTAATACTGGCTAATAAATTGTGTTTTCATTTTTCAGCAAGTGTTGTCATCAATCACTCCAAGTCCATGAACCCGTACCGTACATAAGAAAAATGTAACAATGCGATTAATTTCTATAATTAGTACCTGTCCAAACAAGAAAAGTACCTATTTATATAGAATGTAGAATGTAGGACAAAATGAATCTCTTGTAAATAAAGGAATAAAGCATTCCTCCATATACTTAGTGAACACAGGATTTAAATTTGATGCTCAAAGTTGGAAATTTAATAAATCACATACAGCATCTATATGCATAGGTACTTAAGATGGTAATGATGCTAGGTCAAATAAGCAGACCAGTGCTAATAATATTACAGTTATAAATGGGAGGAACATTACTAATCTATTCTGGCACAAAAAAAAAAAAAATTAATTAACATCAGATTTGATGTTATAAATGAATTTTGTTGTAACTGAAAATACAAGAGGTAACTAACTACAGAAAAAGATAAGATAGTTTTGATTATCCAGAGCCCCTCTCGAAAGTTACAACTATTCAGAACAATTTTCGCTGAGCTAAGACATGAAAGACAACAGTTATTTTAATTAATACTTGCATAAAATCAGAATCAATTTAAAAAATTAAAAATGTAAGAAACATTTATAATAAAACACTTTTTTGGGGGAATGTGCCAGTGATCTGTTTTTACTGAAAAAAATAACACAGAATTGCATATTTTTGGTACTGCATATGTTGCTGTTTTCCCATGTGCACAACAACCTACTGATGCTTAAAAAAAAAAAAAAAAAAAAAAAAAAACTTACTGATAACTTTAAAAAATTAAATATTTAAGATTGTCCATATTTGCTCTTGATATTTCAGTCTTTTTGCACTTATTACACATACAAACATTCATGGTTAATAACATCTCACCCTAAAAAATCTGACATCCAAAAAATTAAGAACTAGTCACTTCACCTTTATAGTTTCTCTGTTAAGCATTTCTTGCCATGCAGCATCAAATTCATAATCATCTTTCTTTGAGTTAAATTTCTTTTCTGCCATAGCAATAGTTTCTCGGGCTTCCTTGTGTACTACACATGCTCGATGATATCTAATAGCAGCTTCTTCACACTCCAATTTCGCCTGAAATAAAATACATTAAAAACTAAATCATAAAAAATAAATGTCTAAAAAGAAAATAAGTAATTTTAACATTTTTGCACAAATTTAAAATATCTCAAAAACAGAGTTTGTACATATTTTTGCACACAGAAATTAAGTACTTTTAAAGACTATCAAAAACAAAAAAAAAAAAAAAAAAAAACTAAGAGCCTAACAGCAAATGGGAACTGAATAAATTAAAGCAATTATCTATGCCCAAATTTCACATTTGTAGCACCATTCTAAGAATAACAAAATTCTGAAAGTAGGCTAGATTATTGTTACGCATAAGCCCCGTTCACAAGAGCAGATTCGACCGGTAGCGAAAACCGGTTCTTCCAACGTGCCCCGTTCACATGGGACAAGCATTAACTGCCTCGCCGAATTGGAGGTAGAACTTGGTTGAATGTTTCTTACCTCTCGGGAGCAGGGCAAATGGGGAGATTTCCCGTACGTATACTGACTGCGCGGTTCACTTAATTTTAGTTACTGCTCGCTGGACTGTCAGCGAAACAATCGCGCTGATAGATGTCTGGGGATCCCCCCCAAATTAGATAGAACTGTACCAGATACGGAAATTATAGGCAAATACAGACAAGGTTATCTGATGCTAGGTAATCCAGAAATATCGTTCAAATTAAAACTAAAGTTAAAACAAGTGCATATCGGCTTCAACACAAAAAGGGACTCTACCTTTTGAATGATTTTTTTTTAAATTTAAGCATTTTCATCTACTTAATAATTATGAATCATCCATTTAATAATTATGAATATTATTAAATGGTTTTGTGAGACAAAATAATTTTAAGCTGAAAAAAAGATTTTTGCTAGCATTTTTTTAATTTAAATTTTTGAAGAAAAATTTTACAATTAAAATGTCTTTCTTCTCCTACAATTTTCAATGTCTCCCCCCCAGTTTTTTTATTGTATTTATTAGAGTGTTCGTAATAACTTCAAGGAATGATTTTGCAATTAATGAATTAGTTTCTGAGGGAAAAAAAAATACACTTTTATCTAAAATCTTTAAAACAAATATGATCTCAGTCACATTTTCATTTCAAATAATTTTTTCCGAAAGTATTTTGCAAAATCCATCCTTGTTTCTATAAAGTATATAATTCTATATAAGCAGTAAAAATAATACAAAATTTAATCCATACGTGTATATGTTTTAGGAGTAAAAGGATTTATTGAAAAAAGTGCAAAAGTTTCTCAGTTTGCATTTGCAGTTTAAAGAATTCAAACTGTCTAAATAGACATTTAATCATTTCAAATCTTTAAAATTTTATTACTGAATTTCAATATAAACATATGTATATAAATCAACCTAGTGCTATTTATTCAATTGGTAAATATAAACATAAATTACAATCCTTTTTTTAAAACCTTATGTGGCCAGAAAAATTGCAAAAACTAATAAAACGCAAGCAGAATTTTTCTTTACCTGTTTTTGTTTTGTAAAACACGTTCAAAACAATTTTAATACATTAATTACTTCTAATATTGCTGCTTGCGTATGGGTTTGTAATAGATTGATAATAGTTCGTAAATGATTGTCATTGCACTCAAATCCGATGATAGCTTAATTAAGTTTATTTTATCAACATAAACACTTCAAAGTTCTGGAATTTTCCACAGAAATACTCGTACAAGTGTTTAGCATATCACTAAGTATAATCAGTAGTTATGCTTCAATCTAAAGAACGTTAAACACAACGGAATGCAAAACGCATCTTAAGAGAAAGTTAACTCAGAAATATCTCCAATCTCACGCTGAACTAACAACTGGTAACAATAACAACTTATATAGCGTAAATAATGTCATAAAAATAGTGTGGTATAATGAGATTATTACTTTTAAACCGATGTTTCGAATTGATGCCCAAGAAGAACTAATATTTTCCATTCTGCTTCATTGCATATCTTTCAAAAAAGTACAAAATTCTCCCAAAATATTTTTTTAAAAAATTACGCTAAAATTTCATTTAATTTCTTTTTTCTTTCGCAGTGTGTTATGGTGCAAACTATAATATTCTGAGATTCTCAGTTTATCTGTTAATATTTGCAAAAAGTCGTTTCAACTTTAAATTTGAAAAAAAATCTAATTCTCTAAAAATCAAAAGCGTGACACCACATCCACAAGCAGTGTATGTACAAAGTTTGAGTTCTATATCTTATCGGGAAGCAGTTTAAAAATCCATTACCCTCTTTTAACCATAGCGACAAGCATCAAGAGTGAACTAAATAACAGCTTATAAAATAATAATAATAATAATAAAAAAAGCATATATTTTTCAGGAACCATTACGAAAGTTCAGGTACCAGTTGCGAAAGTACAGATTACAAAATTAACAACAGTAAAACACGTTAAAAATGTGTAAACAGTATTAGAAATCTGCCAAATCGGAGACATGATTGTTCACAGAGGCTTTAGGTGTAAAGGGGAAGGAAGACGGTGGTCTTCTGAACGGGTCCTAAAGACGAAACTCTTTCATGTCTCCTTTTTCTCCCCTTGCTAACGGCAGCTGTGCGAAGGAGCGTTGCATGTGAACGGGGCTATAATCTAATATTTACCATAATTATAAAAAAATTAAGAATAAAATCAACTTTGTAAAATTGATCAATTAATATTAAATTACGAAGTTTAGTCTTCTTTATTTTCAAATAAAATTATACTGCTAACAGGCAAAATACTTAAATATTAATGGAAAACGTAAAAGGAAATTCTTTTAAGTGCTCTACTACATATTAAAATCCACAATAAATTAAATGCACATAAATGTTAAAAAAAAAAGAGATTTATTAATACAATAATTATTTTCACATTAATATCTAGTAATAAAATAATTAAACCATGTACCACAATTTTTTTTTAATTTATTGTTTTCTCATCCCACACATTTCATACAATCTCATTAGTAATCCCCTCTTTTTTTTTAAATTAGATATTTCTTTAAAAGAAAAAAAAATAAGATTACTACAGTTTTAGCATCAGCAGATAAATATTTTAAATATTTAGAGAAAGACAAATAAGGTTAATCATATCTTATTTAAATGTTAAAGCAAATCAGTAAATGAATAAATTATAAAAAATATATTACTGCTTGAGCAGCTTCCTCAGCTTCATAGTATGGCCTGGCAACCTGAACACACTTGCCCAGCTTCTTTGCTATTAGTTTCAGACGCTGGCTATATTCACTCAGAGTATTTCTGAAAGTTGCATTTGCAGCCTTTAAAGAGAAAATGAAAAATAAATGTACACACCTTAAATATTTTAAATGCACTTTAATACTAACATTTAAAATCAACTATATGAGGGTGAAACAGAAAAATAGCAAGACTTTTTTTTCTGTTTTACCATACCCATTAAAGTTGTCCCTCTTGTGTCAATATTTCTAATATTGATCAACACTTTTTGGAAGTCCTGTTCTAACATACCAAGCAACATTTGCAATTTGAACTTAATCTCTTTTATAGTATTTCAACAGCAACTCTTCACTTTAAATACTAGCTGGAAAAAAAAAATCACAGAGGGTATGCAAATCAAAAAAATAAACATATTAGTTGTGGCAAACATATTAATTCAGCCTAAAAACAGCCTTCTGAATGACATTTAAGCTAGTAAATTATTAGAAAGGAATACATGAGTGCCCTCTTGTAGCAGGTCAGGTTACTGCTATCAAGTCCTCTTTTCAATACCTCGGAATACAATAGTTAAATTCTGCATTGTTACTTTGCCCCAAAGGAATAAATTTATGAAATATTGAATGCATGAATGTCCCACCAAAATAAATCACAATATTGCTCAGCCTTGCTTCAGGCCTAGGTTAACATAAGAAACTAGGGTGATTTAAGTCTTTCACATTGAAGTCGTCCCAAACACCCGAGCATTCAGACATTGGCTGATCGCCCCAAACACCTGAATTTCTTACCTAGTGCTTTCCCCCATCACGTTACTGCATTGCTCATTGCTTTCAGGTTGGTGCTTGGTGGCTCATTGCTCATTGCTTGGTGGATATATTGTAATATAATTTAAGGGTCTTTCACAGGAACAACTACAGTTTAATCTCAATCCAAGAAGTGCACCATATTGTCAGCAACAGTTTCTGTTCACAATATGAAAATTAGGTCATCCAAGACCTACTGATATAGATAGTGGAATGTAGACATGATGCCTTTTCTATTTTAGAATCCTTGGTATAAACCTGAAAAATGTGATGTATGTTCAAACTGATGAGATAATTACTTGTGCTGTTCCAAATGACACAATGGCAATTTACTTAATGACGATCCAACAATTATTATGCATAAGATGTTGAATTTCTTCTGACAGCTTATAAAAGTCTGACCTCTTACATCTTCTAATGCTATTTTACTCCTTTTGAGATGTAAGTGCCACACAGTAGACATGTCAGTGTAAATTTATTAAAGCATTTGAAGTGTCTTCGCTGATTTTCCAAATTTGACACTGTATTGCCTTTTGGGTTTATTTAATCAGTAATTGCCTTTTGCTTTAGTTTGAGATCTGAGATAAAATCATAATTAAGCATTAGTCTAGGATTAAAAAAATACACACAATACAAGCACTACAGATACCAGGACACTGCTTCCAATTCTAATGCACGGAAGTTACTGCTTGTTACCAATGTATATGCATGTATTGCCACAAATTATACATTACTGGAATAATTTTATTACATTTTGTCCTAAAAAATTACAATTAAACTTACTCAATATAAGCATGCTAAGTATGAGAATACAGCTAAAATTAATATTTTTTATTCTAGATTTGGCTCACTATTCACCTTCATTGGGATTCTCATCTATTTAATAAGGAGCAAAAACAGCATAGAATGAAAATGTTGACTTTTTTCAATGTAAATTCCAGTGTGAGGGCTCAATATGTAATTGCATTAGGATTCCCAAGCCTTTATTGAAGAATAAAATGAATATTTTGATTAATATTAAAAAAAATTGAAACATCTACCCAACTCTGAAAAGAAAATGTGACAGAAAAATAAATCACCACTAATGACACATAAAAAACAGGTGAAAATGTCCTTTTTAAATAGAAAGGCAACTTCAGTAGATTTAAAATATCAAATATTATTAAAGTTACTTCCAGATGCCTTTAAAGTATACTCAACACACTGTAAAGTATTCATCCTCAATAACATTCTAAAACAGCAATTCCTAACCTGTAGTATGCTGCTGCTTGGCTAATCTTTGGAATATGGTAACAGGTAGTTTGGCGACATTTTGGAGGCGATAAAGGTTACTACCTAGGACTTACCTACTACTAGGGAATAATGTGAGAAGTACTCAGTTCTGATTACGCATTATTTTGTGTGAGGGAAATGAGAGATCATGAGATATGTCATGTGACATTAACGGACGAATTACAGTTCTTTTATCGGAAAAGGGGGGAAATCTGGAAAAAATCTGCAAATTTTGTATTTAGCTTTATTCTATGTTGTGTGAAACAGTGTTGGTTAATTTTTGGATCCCATGGCCCTATCTAAAGTCAATTCGAAATGGGTATTTAGTGGGATTGAAAGGGGTAGTAATAAGTGTTTTTTTAAGGTTGTGCGAGATAGAAGTAAAGATTGCTTATTAAGTTTTATTAAGTCTGTTTGGAGGATGAAGGATTTCAGCTGTGAACTATACGTATGATTTTAAAGATCCTGAAACAGGCGCACATACGATTGCTTTTTATTTAGCGGAGGAAATAAGAAAAGTTTATCTGCCACGTAATCAAGATTCTGAAGAAGATTAGGTAAGTTAGTATTTTTAATTATTTGAGGATATTATTTTTATGCATTGTTCTAAATGTAAGGAGTAAATAAAGTAATATGGTATTATTGGAAAATTGTTATTAGCAATGATTTAGTTTAAAGTAATTAGGATTGTAAGCTAATTTTTATTAATTTAATGTATGTGCTTATTTATATTTAAGTAGTGTTTTTTAATTTAATTATATTTTAATTAAATGATAGTTATTTTGTGAATTATATGTTTGTAGGAATTTGGTATATGTTTCAGTGGAAGTAAACGTGCATGGCAATAATTTAAGTATTTGACACTAAGTATTTGCAACTATTTTTAATGTTTGCGTTATGAATTTGTTGGTGACGTTTATAATAGATAATTTAGAGGTAAAAGTTTTTGGATATTTTATTTATTTTATACATGCAAATGTTCATCCTTGGAAAGGGTATATACTTTTTCGCGATCAGGTAATTTCATATATGTCCTTTTTACCGGATTTAAAGATTCACAAAATTTTCATGCATTTTCGTGAAATTTTTCTAATTTATGAGAAAAAAGCAGTGTACATGGATATAGTGAAGAGTGTGCGCAATGCCATTTTTGTGCAATTCTGGGATTTTTTTTAAGTAAAAATAAGTCGACGTGTACATGGTTTAGTTATATCTTAATTAAATGATAGTTATTTTGTGAATTTTATGTTTGTAGCAATTTGGTATACGTTTCAGTTGAAGTAAACGTGCATGGAAATAATTTAAATATTTGACACTAAGTATTTGTAACCATTTTTCATGTTTGTGGTATAAATTCGTTGGTGACGTTTATAATATAATAGATAATTTAGAGGTAAAAGTTTATGGATATTTTATTTATTTTATACGTGGAAATGTTCATCCTTGGAAAGGGTATATACTTTTTCACGATCAGGTAATTTCATATATGTTCTTTTTACCGGATTTAAAGATTCACAAAATTTTCATGCATTTTCGTGAAATTTTTCTAATTTATGAGGAAAAAGCAGTGTACATGGATATGGTGAAGAGTGTGCGCAATGCCATTTTTGTGCAATTCTGGGATGTTATTTTAAGTAAAAATAAGTCGACATGTACATTGTTTATGTGTATGTGCGATTTTGAAAAACGCTGCAAGGAGTTTGAGATTCTGCATTTTTTTCCAATTTTGCAGTTAATATTTGTCATGATTAAGCAGTTGTGTTCCATAAAATTTCTAGCATAAGTGTAATTCAGATAGCAGATTGTTGGAAAAAGTGTTCAGTACATAAAAAGAAAAGAAACATGTCTTTACTTCATGAAGACAAAATGGCAGTGGAAAAAAAAAAAAATAAAAATAAATAGAGGGAGCAGAGTTGGTTGCCAAATTTTCGCCAAATCCAAAGTTACCATAATCCAAAGATTAACCCTGCTGCTTAGATCTATACATGAAAAGATTGTCAGTTATGGAAAAAAAATATATATATTGTGATAAATACCTTGGTACGAACAAAGTTATACAATAATTAATTTTAAATTTGGTGCTTTATTGTGGTACCACACTATTTCAAGAATGCTTGGAGTTTTAAGTATATGCTGCTAATAAATTCAGCAATTCATTTAATTTCTTCTTTCTTTTTTACAAACATTGATAAAGAAAATAATTACAATTTATTAGCCCTGTTTTGGTTTAAAATACGCATTATCACTGTGTTTACTTTAAATTATATAATAACAAGTCTTTGTTTTATTATATTTTTCTAACTTTATCTACTGCAGGTTATTAATTTTATGACATTAAAATAATATAACAATAACAAATATTACGAGAATGCTAGACAGAAGGTCATAGTTTTTGAAAGGAAGGTTAGGAGTACTTAATAATTACAAAATCTTATAAGGGATGTATGAAAGGAAAAAGACCTGTGGATCTAGAATGTGATAGATAAAAAAAGAACAAAATATCAATATTTTAAAAGTATGATTTTTTTTTCCTCATATAAGGAGAATGGTATTCTGAAAAATATTATTTTCTGATGCCTAGTATGTTCATTCACCATGATACAAAAATCAAAAAATATTTATAATTTTTAACTAAAAATAATGTAAAAGTATTTCTGTAGTTAGGAAATAGTCTAGGTATGAATTCAATTGAAAATCTATGATGCACTGTGAAAAGAAAGAAACTGTTGCAAAAGAGAATAAATAATAGCACAGGAAGCCAATGTTATTAAAATACAGCAATATGACATAATATTTTTAAAAAATTCTATATTATAAGCTAAATTCAATAATTTTCTTTGAGTTGAATAATTTATCTACCACTATAAACATAACAAACTATACCATGGTTTATAACTTAAGAATGCTAATAACACATCAAAATGAATAGCAATCGGGTATGGCCCACAATAATTTGAGAATGGCTTATTAATTCAAATGTTTTTTTAAAATGAACCAGGTGTGAGGCAATATTTTTACCTAACTTTTGTTAATTAGAAAATATGCCAAACTATTTTTGTATATTTACATATTTTGAAATAAAAAATATTGTTCTCAGATTCAATTTAACTAAAAATATAAAGAAAAAATAAATAAACATATACATACATCAAGCTGTAATTCAAGGCTATTAATTTCATCAGTATAAGAGTTGAGATATTCCAGTTGGTCCTGAAAGTAATTGTAAGGATGTATTAACATTTTATTTTGAATAGAATAACAGTGTTCAACTATTTAAAATAACAATAATTATCCTGTTTACATTTCGCCCTCAAAACATTAAATAAACAATAAAAAACGGTTTAATCCTAATATACGATTTAATACTAGGATTATACTAGTTTAATCCCAGTATGAAAATAAATAAAATATTTACTTTCACCCTTGGATCTACACCTTCTCCGGTATTTTCTTCCATTTTTATCAAAGTAATGCCAGCATTCACATTGCTGTAATAAAATACATATCAGCATTAAGGATATCATCTACACAGTACATACAACGATTTAAATGTAATATTTCTTAAAACTGCTACAAACCTTAATTATATTTTCTAAATTTTTCTAACTGCATGATTGTTATTTGTTAAAACATGCATGAAATAAAAGAGGAAAAGAACGGTATATTAATCATCTATAAAAAATTGACAAAACTACTGGATACTATCTTCAGACAAAAACATGGTTCGTACTTCTAAAAATAAATCTACGTAGTATTATTATAGAAGTGATTATGTGCAACATTTCTTTTATCACAATGTTACACATACATAATTACATGCAGTAATGCAATACTGATTCGAACGTTACGAATTACAACGGTTATTGTTTATATTACTGTTTACCTAAATCGGTCAGATAGACAGACAAAGTAGATAGACGTCTTGTTTTGCATCTGCTAGATCTTGCTGTCCGCAGGCAGAAAATCAAATGAGGAAAATAAATAAATTCGGATACGATATTTTTAAAACCATATAAAAGAAGCTCAAGCTTTGAGAATTTGAGAAATAAACTGGAATATTTGCGGAAACAGGTTCTTCGCCTTGTACCAGGAACTGTGAAAACATATTCTGCTATATAATATTGGACAACTGTGTATGGAACACGAAAATTAAATTTTTAATTTAAAGCTTTTAGAAAAAATAGGCACCCTCAAACTCCTAACAGAAATAAATGATAAATTGTTCCCCAAGGTGACTATAACTCAGGAAGACTGTTCAGTTTGCTACTAGAGATAAATTAAAACATAAGCTCATTTTTTATTTGTTTCTCTTATTACAATTCTTGAATCTTCTCAAACCTGTGGCATTGTTTTGTGAATGAATCATTGTTAGCTAGTTGTGAAACCAGATTTCAGTCTATTAATTATTTGCAATTCTCAAAACAGAAGTAGACGCACGGTAAAAACAAAAGAACAGTTAAATGCACAGTCGACATGTCTAATATTAAGTTATTAGTAATGGCAAGTAAACGGCCTGGTAACGCAAACGGCATTGTAGATGCTGTCATCGACTTTGATGACTGTGCACTGGTTTTATCACCCTACAATGGACCAAAGCCTATTTAAGACGATGGGAAATGAAAGAGCAGGCATGTTGCTAGAGGAGGCAACAAGATACAAGTTTTTTGGGCCCCTGAACATATCCCCAAAATCCCAGTCAACATTGATGATTTAACTCCAGTCCCGGTTAAAACATTATTAACATTTTACTTTCAAGTTACTTCAAAACATCTTTCAAAATATAACTTACTAGTATGGATTAACTCTTTTAAAATAATTCTACTTTAATTAAACTTAGGAGATAATATAATCAATTAATCAATATTGTTTAGGAAATATATATATATATATTTCCTGTTGAAGTTGCTTCGTTTTATGTGATAATACCTTCTGTTTATAAACAGACATAATTTTTTGTTCAGTTACAAAGTTCCGCTGTTCAAGTCTTATAATTGCTGTGTCGAGAATACCGACTAATTTGTCAATCGAATTTTTTTCGTTTTCAATAACCTCTGTCACTTTCTTCGCTATCGGAAGCGAATTATAATGACGAGGAATTTGATTTAAATCATATCAAAGACGAAGTACATCGAGATGAAATACTACATTTAGTAAGGAATTATAAGCAAAATAAAATAAAAACATCCGCCCTTAAGATAAGGATAGTGCTGAGAGATCAATTTCCAATTCATTGCGCACCGCGGCGTTAAAGATAAACAAAGTTTAGATAAACAAACGTTAAACTTTAGATAAACAAAGGATATGCCTTTATCCATTTTTTGCAGCAATTCCACTTTTTGTTTAATGGACTTCGAAACATACTTTCGCTTTGTAGATCCTTTACATATTAGTAAATATATATCAGAAATTCTATTTGACATAATCGAAAGTTCAAGCTTTATAAAATTGCTCTAACAGTCTGCAAAAAATAATAAGCCGAATCCAATTCGAAGATTAAGGAACAACGCAATCTGCAACATTAACTGAATTGGATAATTTTAGCTTAGCTTATACCGTCTGTTATACATTAAACGCGCATTCGTAAACATATTTTGCGCACGCCATTCCGGATTATGGGTGTCCAAATTAACGACTTTTGACTGTATATTGTTTAACATTTATTGTATTTCTTACATATTTATATTTTTTAATCGCCAGTATAATCACGCCTACTTTGTAAAACAAACTTTCGTTTTAACGTTGTTCAAATCATGGTCTTGAAAATATTATGGAAATATTTCGTTTAAATTACTACCCTAATATTTGCATCTATTCTATTGGAAATTCCTATAACGTTTGTCACTGTATGTGTTTTATGAGATTGATATAAATAATTCTATTTCTGCAGTGGAGCTTTGATGGTTATATAATCTACTATTCTCATGTGATATTATGAATCCCAATGTTTGCTTCAAGAGTCTTGCATGTCCTGTAACTAAGCGACATGTGTTTAATATAGCTTGTGTAACAGTAGGCTCGGTGCACAGCTGGTAGATTTCTTCCTGCAAGGGACGCGAAACAACAGATTAAGCCTAATAGTAGACCTATTGTCCTTATAGAGGTACAGAGAGACATAGAGTGATGCACTACACTGATTGCACAAAATAAAAATTCTTTTTTAATACTTCTAAGTTGCTTTAAGTTTGATGATGTATACAGGGATCATTGATTGCAACGAAATACCTGATTTACCTGCTTCTTTTTATATCTTTTCATGTTTTTCTGGCAAATTTGAATGCCTTGAAAATACGTTTTTCAGTATAATTATGTATAATTATATTAGAGAAACAAAGCAAAATCTGTAAAATCCCATTAGTTTCCAAGTTACTACCAAATGCGAAACTCTTAGCTAATTACCAGGTAGATAGATTTTAATCACTTCCGTTGACTGCCACCAGAGTAGTAATATCCATACACTTCTGTTGGTCCCGAAAGCAAAGCTGATCTAAGTTGCGTATTCCCCCCTCCCACTTCGTAAAGCCTCGTCTACAGGAGGTGACATATCTCCGAACAGGTTTTTCTACCAGATATATCGCCTGACAACCTTTTGTTTACACAGAGAGATTTTATATCTAAGTTCATCTGAGCCATTAAGCTAATCAGAGAATTAAAAGCAGATGACGTGATTTCTATCCAATAGGAGAACTCCACTGATCTCAAAACAAGCATAATTGCAGTTTTCAATGCCTTTATTTTTCAGAGTGTAATTTTTTTAAGTAAGTTTTAATAAGAATAAAAACAGTAATAATAAACAGATGGCTTAGTGGCTGACAGAAAGTAGCAGTGATATGCCCCCAAAAAATGCAAAATACCAAACAATAAATAAAAATTGTAATTTAAAAAAAAATAAAATTAATCAAACTGGAAATGAAAGCAATTAATTGTGAAATGTAATGCACTGCTATAACTGTAGAGTCAGTAGTTACATCTTTGCTGTGACATGAAAAATATACAACGTCCTCGCCGAAATTCGAACTCCCGACTGTTATATATGTAACTGTAACTGTATCTATTATTATCTTTAACCATAACTGTAATATAGAATAGTAGATGAGTAATGTAGAATAAACGATGTTTGTGTATCTTGTAATAATCACTGAGCACGTACCCAACACATATAAAATACAACACATGGCGCAGCCCGTCGTTGATTAAAAAAAAAAATCTTTTTTGAAGAACCATGCAGCCTCGGTAAAGATGTTCTAAACAAAAACATCATGGGAAGTTGTTTACTGTGAAATCGAAAACTTATATCGCTGGTAAGTGAGTTGTTTATTTTTATTGGAAGTGGCTAAAAATACGTATATATAAACTATTTAAGTCCTAAATTAAATATCGATGGATTAAAGCCACCAAGTAATCTAAGTTTCGAAGGAAATTTAAGCGAAAATTGGAAGAAATGGAAACAAAAATTCCAAATTTATATGTTAGCGTCTGGTGGTATTACTAAATCACCTGAAATTAAAGTAGCTATTTTATTGCATATAATTGGTGAAGAAGCACTTGAAAAATTTAATACTTTTAATTTAAGTGAAGAAGGATGTTGACAAAGTAATTGAAGCTTTCGAAAATTTTTGCATACCGAAAGCAAACGAAAGTGTTGATAGACATATATTTTTCTGTCGAACACAACATGTAGGTGAATCGTTTGATGATTTCTTAACCGATTTAAAGAAATTAAGTAGCAACTGTGGATTTGCAGAATTAAAAGATAGTTTAATAAGGGATAGAATAGTAAGTGGAATTCTAAATAAAAATCTCAAAGATAGATTATTAAGGGAAGATCAGTTAACATTGGAGAAATGTATTAAAATGTGTAAAGCTTCTGAATTAGCAGAACTTCAGCTGAAAACTTTAACTGAAGAAAATAAAATAGAAGCTATCAAACGTAATAAATTTCGACCTTCAGAGGAAAAAAGTCAGCCTTGTAAGAAAGACTATCATGTAAAACAAAAGCAACAAAGTACTAAATCTTCTTCAAACTATCAAGGAACTAAGTACAATAATCCAAAACCATGTAGAAAATGTGGAACTTTTCATAAGTTATACAACTGTCCTGCTTATACTAAGATTTGCTTGTACTGTAAAAAGAAAATCACTTTTCTAAAATGTGCACTTATAAAAATGTTAATGTTGTACAGAATAATTTAGAGCATGAGTTACATAATAATGGTAATGAATATATTTTAGGGTCAGTAGAAGATATAAATCCATTTTCTAAAAATAAAACCGAATGGTTTGAAAAACTAAAAGTAAAAGTATCTAAATATTTATTTGTTAAGTTGGATAACTGGAGCTCAGTGTAATGTGTTGCTACTATTGCCTAAATTTAAACAATTAAATTTAAGAGAGAGAAATGTTTAACTTTGAATCAAAAGTCACTTTAAGTAATTACAATGGTACTACAATTGATGTAGTAAATGGAAAAATCACTAAAATTATTATGTGAGAACATCAAAAGGGGACAAGGATGAAATAGAATTTCAAGTAATGTAGCATGTGATAAAACTGTTCCAGCTATTTTAGCTGGAACATTGTTGGAATTTTATTTTATTTTTGCAATTTAGGTTATAAATAGCGGGAACATTTATAACCTATGTTTCAGCTATTTATAACCTAAATTGCAAAAATTAAACCTAGTACAAAGGATTTGTACAGTAAATCCTGATTCCCAATGAAAAGTTACCAGAACTCTTTAAAAGGATATCAAGATTTGTTTAAAGGAACTGGGAATTTAACTGGATATACATATCATATTAAATTAAAACCAGGATCTGTTGGTAAAATAGAACCCTGTAGGAAAATTCCACTTAGCTTATTAAATCCATTAAAAAAGGAA